CAAGGCTATCCCACAAAATAGAAAGGACTTTAAAACAGTCAAGGAGAAAATCAGGAAGATTAAACCATCGAAAAGAAAAGAGAGGACGTTGAGGAAAGGCAGACTGCAAAATAGAAAGAACGTTAAAACAGTCAAGGAGAGAGAAAAAAAGATCAAACCAGTGAAAAGAAAAGAGAGGACGATGAGGAAAGATAGATTACAGAATGAGATCAAGAAGACAAAGAAACGTAAACTAGGGGAAGACCTTGGGGGACCCCTCCCTAAGGAATATAAAACTCCAAGACATCTGCAAGAAAGTAGCAGAAATGAGGAAAAAAAAGAAATAGAACTGGGGGCTAACAAAATATGTTATATGGAGTCCTTCTTTTCTTTGTGCTATGGTTGTAGAAGTACTGTGTGTATGGTTGTAGAAGTACTGTGTGTATACCATTGGCTTAATAATATGACTAGAACATTAAGTATGTATTGAAATGCCTTGTCCTAGGAATTGTGCTTAAAAATAGGTTTTTGATTCAGAGACTCTGTAGGAGAATTAGGTAATCCATGAACATGATTAGAAGTTGAGGCTTATAGATCTGATGGAAATCTGGGAAGATTTCTGAAATTTCTTAGTTTCTTCTGAACCTTTGTGAAAAAAATATAAAAAATTAAAAATATAATATGGATTGTGTGGGTTGTGGCCGGAAGAACTTCCCCTTTGTATTGCATATTAAGTTATGATTAAAAGTTGAAATATAAATTTTATAGGTTAAATGAAATTCCAACAAAGGTAATTCAACCTCTGAAGAAACTAAAGAATAATAGAGAGATGATGTCTGATGTACTATTAAGAGATGATTATTTTTACAATTCATCAACTGTCTTTTAGTTCAGAAGCATTGAGTAGACTGATTAATTTACTGATGTTATATTAACAAAAGAAATGGATGGAAAAAATAATGAATTTACTTATAAGTAGGAGATGTATGTTAAACTTAATTATTGTGATATAGTAATTAACATTGTCTAGGGAAAGCAATTTAATTGAAGGGATAGTGTGATGTGTGTTTTAATAGATATTTGTTTCGTTACATGTTCTGTTTTTGTGTATATGATGTTTATGTCAAAAAATGAATAAAAATTTGGAGGGAAAAAAAAAAAAGGAAGAAGATGATAGCAAATCCAGTGGCGAATTGGACTCGGTGTCTTCCAATGAGGACTCTGCTTCCGATAAAGGGGCGGCTGCCCCCCAACGCGTGTATCAATTGAGGATGAGAAAAGATCAAACAAAATGAAGGCTGAAGGACTCTGAAAAGTTTGTTTTTATTATTGGATGTTCTTGAGGTTCTCTTAAACAGTTAAATTAATGGATAAAAAGATAAATAATTTAGCATAACCGACTATGTTCAAAGTAACACTAGCAATTTAAGATTAACATTTATATAAGCTGTTGTTATCATCTCCTATTCTTGAGGTTTTAGTTATTAGTGGTTTTCTTTCCTTTCTCCCTAGATGTAGTTACCCCTTCCTAATTTTTCGTTGTAGTTTGTAGTCTATTAAAAATGCAATAAAAAATCCCCTCTAGGGGGCTAAAAAAGGGGGGGGGAAGAACTGCTCACTGGCTAAAACCCCATGAGCTGAGTTTTATCATAGGGCAGTCGTCTTCACGCTTTCTACCATCATGGAACACCTTCCATATCAAGCATCTAGAAGCTCTGCATGTCTGACCATGGAACTTTGCACTCCGCAGAGAATTCTGGGCCATGTTTTAGGTAGCATACTCAGGTTGATGCAAGATACTAGCCAGGCATTTCTCCCACATTCCCCAAGCTAAAACTGTGCTCTGGAACACACACACCTCACACTTTCCTGACAGGACAAGAGCTAGTCTTCCTCATCAGATGGGGCTGCCATATTTCCAGGTGAGGCTTCAAAGGATTCAATGGGACAGTCAGCAATTTTCTCATAGCCAACAAAAACTCATTCTGTGCATATTTTAGGGGCCTGTAGGTTCATGTGAACATGGAAGGTACACCAAGTTGTCCTGAGATCTGCTTCTTTCCGACAGTCTCTTCTGACCCCCCAAAAGCTCTCTCCTGGGGCTGTGGGATCCATGTGGAGAAACAGTCATGTGGGCGTGGCACTGTAGGGAAGGGGTGAAATTGTTCTCTCCTCGCTCTGTTTTCAGCACAGCTGCGCTTGTGGAAATCACAGGAGATATTTCAATCCCTTCCTTCTCCATCCCTGCAGCACCCCAATGCAATGTACTTATTCCTCTGTTTGGGTTCTGCAACCCAAGGAATGATGGAGTTCTGAAGAGGCTGTCAGGACGAAGAGGACCAGGGAGAAGCCAGCAGTCTCTACGCAAATGGTTTGACAGAGACCAGTGTCTACAAGTGATCAAAAATCTACAAATGGCACAAAAAGTAAATATTATAGTCAAAAAACCCACTTTGCCCACTTATAACAAAGATGGTCCTTGAATAAGCTTTCTTCAACACTCTTTTGAACCACTCTTTAAGCCAGGTGGCCTAGGAGAAGGGAAAGATGGAGAAACAGGAAGACGTCTTATAAAGGGGACAGAGCATAGTACTAGAATAGGGACCACTGATGCAGCCAAGAGGGGGCCCTTTGGGGAAAGAAGGAGCAGGTAGTGACTAAGATCACACCTATCTACCAAGACTAAAGTTCGTGTAGTGTCATGGTTAGAGTGCTTGACTAGGAGCAAGGCAACCTCACACTGCCCTGAATCTCTTGGGTGTCCTGTGCCAATCTCCACCTCTCAGCCTGACCTACCTCACAAGACTGTTAAGACACATTTCAGGATGGGGGGGGGGGAGGGACACTATACACTGCCCTGAAATCCTCAAAGGAAAAGTGGTGTCAAACCCAATCCACTACTGAAGTCCAGGCCAGGGATTACAGCAAAATCTCACTTGGGTATTAACTTTTTTCCTGCCTTGTTGCTGATTGCTACGTAGTCCTGAAAATTTATATGCAACACTGTAAAGTCAAAAACCGTGAGATGGCCGAAGCGTTAAACCTTACCTCAATTGGACAAGGTCACGGTAATAAGCTGTTCCTACTGATAAGTTTATAGATGGCATTGTGTTAAATGAATTTGCACTTACAGTCTGTATTATTGTTTAAACAGTAATCTTGTTTATGTATATTTGACTTATCTTCTAATAAAATCGTTTTTAAAAAAAAAAACTTACCTCAATTCGTTTTTCATACTTTTCCCCTTGGATGAGGCGATGAACGTAGATCTTGGGGATGTGAATATCTTCTGCAGCAAATGATCCTACATCAACAATTTCTTCCACCTAGTAAGGGGGGGGGACAACCACAGAATCAGTGCGTGTTATCTCTGAGAGTCATAGAAGATTAGAACATGGCAATACCTCAGCTCCTTCTGCTGCTTTTGAGGAGATGAGCATGTTAATGCTGCTGTGGGTTGGTAAACAGCGCCTCAACTCTAAGCCATGTCTGGAGCCGAATCTTTCTCACCTCTCCCCCTCCATTTGCCCAGTCTAGGAAATAACCTCTTTTGGTAGGAAATCCTGCACACGCTCACTTATAGGTAAATGTTGCTGGTTTAGAGGCCGTACTTCTAACTAAGGATACTTCAGAACTATAACATTAAATTTTATGAAATCTGGTCAAACCTTCTTCTAGTGCTAATCAACTAATGGACTACTGGCTGTTTAGCAGAATTTTAAATGAGATTTCCTCGTGAAACAGAGGAATTAGAAGACAGTTTTTGTTATGTCTCCCTTGACGTCAACAGGTTTGGGATAATAAATTTAGTGCACCGGATTAGCATTAAAAAATAAACACAACGTTCCCTACTTTTGATATCCGTTTTTTTGTGGTTACCTCCTGTCACGTCTATTGTTAGCTATACATCTCCCTTGCCCCATTCAGATAATAGGTAAATGGAATGTTTTACTTTATGGGTCCAGGGTCAACAACATCTGTATTTGTAATCTTACCGAGCACAAACATAAAGTGATCTTCCAGTCAAACAAAGAAACAAGTAATGTTTCTACTGAAGATCTTCTGCTAGCTTCGTGAGGATGTGGCTCCAACTGGTTACCCACGCACACACCCCAACTGACAACATAATTTCTATGATACACATGAATACATGAAGCTGCCTTATACAGAATCAGATCTCTGGTCCATCAAGGTCAGTATTATCTACTCAGACTGGCAGCTGCTCTCCAGGGTTTCAGGAAGAGGTCTTTCACATCATCTGCTACCTGGTCCTTTTAACTGGAGATGCCAGGCACTAAACTTGGGACCTTTTGCATGCCAAACAAAGGCTCTACCACCATTCTTTTCTTTGCTGAATTATAGAAGTTTTGGTGGCTTTTACTCCAGAGATGATAGAAGCTGACAATTCTAAGAAACTGCCTGTCTGCAGCAAAATTGTCTTCTAGTTCTTAAGGCCAGCTATAACTACAAAATTCACTTGACTGTGGGAGTCACTAGTTGTAGGATAATGAAGCAGAATTTTAAAGCCTTGAGGGACACAACATCGTATTATTCAAAATTCCAGAGGAAAACCTACCATCTAATCTCCAATTACCAGAAACTTGTTTATACCAAACATTGTTTAAATATTTATTTTATGGGTTTGGGAGACATTTACTGCTTTAATATAAGATCATCTCGAAATGATGGCACTCACTGTTTCCCAATTATTTCAAATTACTCCTTGAATCTCTCTGCAAAGATTAGGAAATAATTGGAAACAGTTCCTCCTTCTGTGATGTAGTACAGAGGTGGGAAAAGAAGCGGCATTTTTTAAACTGCAAAACGTGAACAGCCTTCTAAACTCATTTTCCAAATTAACAGATGAAAATAGGGGAGCGGTGGCACAGTGGGTATATCTTAACATCTGAACTGTGTTAGTTCAAGTCCCACACTGGTGTGAGCAGCCAGCCTGTTGTCCCCAGCTCATGGTCCACCCAGCGATTCGAAAGCTTCGACGAGTAGATAAAATGGGAACCACTCCTTAGCGAGGGTGGGCACGCCAACCTTCCTTCTGGGAGGGCGTTAGCTGAAGGTCGGACGCCTGGTCAAGGCTTGTAAAAGGCAAAACAGCTTCCCAGCTACGGAAAAGAACGCCTGCAATGGATGTTCCGGCCAGGCGGTGGCAGTGTGGCGATTGACATACGGGTCCTGAGGCCTGGCCAGCAAGCAGCCATGCAGGAAAATGACGGAGCCAGCCAGAAGACGTCTACACCGGGCAGTGACGGCGCGTGCAATTAAAGTCAATATATGTTGTCTTCCCTATCCCCTACGAACATTGTTAGTCCCTTGTCTATATATGGAGTAACTGTACATTGCTTTGAGCCCAGTGGGGAAAGCGATTAATAAATGGAAAGTATATATATATAAAGTATAAAAATACTTAAAACGTTCTTAAAACAGATTGTACAAAATTCCTTCTTTTAAAACATTTTTATCGCTTAAAATACAAAATTCCTGACAATTTGTTTATATTGAGGGACTTCTAGACTACCTCTCTCCACAAGAGTGTAGATTTGAAGTAATTTACAAAGGCATAAAATAGCATAATGAAAACCTTACATGAGAATAAATGAAATACAATCTTTCTTTTCCTATTACCTTCCCATACTCCTAGAGTCACAACTGATGGCCCCACCCAATGGTGGAAAGACATGTACATTTTTCATCCTAACTTACTAGGATTGCCAACTTCCATGGGGTAGCTGGAGATCTCCTGCTATTACAACTGATATCCAAGTCACAGAGATCATCTGGAAAAAATGGCCACTTTGGAAGGTGGACTATAACATTATAACCCCACTGAAGTCCCTCCCCTCCCCAAACTCCACCCTCTTCAGGTTCCACCTCCCCTCCAAATCTCCAGGTATTCTCCAGCCTGGAGCTGGAAACTCTATAACTTGCACTGTTTGTTAGCCTCCTACAAGGAAGTCCATTGTTTCTGGCTGTTTAGCTGCCCTATCTTTTCAGTTTGTTTTATTTGAAAATGATTCTTTCAAAGGACACTGGGGTCTGCTAGAACCAGTTTGGTATAGTGGTTAATCCACTTGCACCTGCTGGATGACCTTGGGCAAGCCATAGTTCTGGCACAGCTGTTTTTGAAAAAGAGCAGTTTCTGTCAGAGTTCTCTCAGCCCCACCTACCTCACAAGGTGTCTGTTGTGGGGAGGGGAAGGGAAAGGAGTTTGTAAGCCGCTCTGAGACTCCTTTGGGTAGTGAAGGGTGGGGTATAAATCCAATCTCTTCTTCTTCTTCTCATTTGCAGTAAGGGACAATTGGGTGAGAGTAAAATACCATCCATCCGAAGTATTGGGTCCTACATGAACTTAGAAGACAAACACCAAACTATAGTAGACCCAAAAGCCTATTCTATGTCCTAGTGTCTAACAGCATCAACATGGCATGTCTTTAAAAAAAATTAAGAAACCAAAGAGTCATCACTATATATTGCAGAGAACAAAGGGGGGATATTTTTATACTTGGAAAAAAGTAAATATTACTAAATACAGTATAAAATGTTGATTAAATTTATGCTTCTTCTTAATGCAATGAATCAATTCACACCATCCCAGAAAGTACAAAGACAGCCTGAGGGATGAAAGATGTTGCATTTGTTTATTCTTTAAACCATTTTGGACAAGTTATATTTTCCGGAACTGGTTCTAGAAATCAACAAGCACCGAAGACAGCAATTCAGAAGCTTCTCACGCATTCTGCTTTAATCCTCTTCAAGAGTGGAATCTGCCAGGAAGTTCTCAAGGAGAAGCCCTCCAAAATAAATAGGAACTATACAAGAACACAACAATGGATTGTGCCACGAGGTATTGCGAGCCATACACATTCATTACTAGATACTTCCAGGATTATTTCTCTTGTTGCTTTTAATGAGAACATGCCCCAATGAAAACAGGTATGAAAAGGGGTACTTCCTATTTAAACACATCCTGTCTTCCCTCTATCCACCAAAACCGGCCCAGGACAGCTTACATATATTATGCATCAGCATAAAAGGAAACGAAAACGAAGCGCAACTATACCTAACTATTCCGACACAGATTGAAGATATTGATTTTAAGATGCACGCACACAAAACATCTAAGGCAGAACCTCAGAAATCAAAAGATGGCCCAAAAGCCATCCTGCCAATGCTCCCTCTAAGCTATGGAGTCTGGTGAGCAAAAATTCTACTTTGTGAGCTACTGGCATTAAAGTTGTGAGCGAGCGACTTGACTACTGCATAAGTCAGTCTGCTCTGGAGCCATCCTTACAGAGCTAAAATGTGTGAGCCGGAGGCTAAAAAACTGTGAGCTAGCTCACACTAATTCAGCTTAAAGGGAACACTGCCTCCAGCAACCTTGGAGAAAGACTTCGTAGCCCACTCACACATGGTTTACTACTCTATGTATCAGTTCATAGATCTGCCCCATATCAAGACATTACAGGGGAAGAAGCTGGAGACCGCTTGCGGTAAGTGCGTGGACTCTAATCTGGGAGAACCAGGTTTGATTCCCCACTCTGCCACTTGCAGCTGCTGGTGACCTTGGGTCACAGAACCTAAACACTCATGTAAAAATGCCAAAATTTAGCACACAAGGGCCAATGGGCTTGACCTGACACATTTCGGCCTGTATAGGCCTTCTTCAGAGGTCAAACATAATGAGGAGCATACTGGCTTATATCATAGTACAATACAATCATATAATTATGTAACACAGATAGAAGATGGACCAGAAAAGAACTGTTCCAAACCACTAGGCACAGAATAAAAGTATAAATGAGGCCTCCAAAGGTGCAATCACATGCCAAATGGTGTTTCACTGATGATAATTTCTGGTCGAGAAAGTGCCTTCCAAAGATCGTATAGCCAAAGCGTCCTCAGTAAAATTGTCCTTAAGCAAAGAGCAGACCAGTCTCAACCTTCCAACCATGTGCCCCCAAGCTTGTACTTTATGCAATGCCTCATCGTTTTTTATTAGAGAAGAACAAGGAACTTACTTGTTAGCCTGACTTACCTCTCTTGTTCTATAGCAAGAAAAAAGAAATTAAAAAGTGATGCGTGAAGCAAGGAAATGGCTGAAAGGGGAATCTCAACCTGCTCTCCTGACCAGCAAGTCACCACAACCACTGTGAGATCCCCTCCCCCCCCCCCCCCGAGGTAAATTTATGAACTGGAACTTCATTACCCTTTTCCAGTCATTCCTACATTTACTTGAGACATTCCCGGTCTTGTTATCTCTTGCTTTTCTTCCTGGAGGCAAAGTAACTTTTACAAATGTTACAAAGTGAAGTATATAAACATTTATGCAGGTTATAGAACGGGCTTCCCCGACGTGGTGCTCATGGGCACCATGGAGCCCACCAAGTGTTTTCAGAGTGTGGGTGCGGCTTTTGCCCCAGCAAGGTTTCTGACCACTGGAGATCTGACTGGCTGTGCAGATTTTTAGAAAACGCTGCTTTGGCAGCAGCTGTCACCACAGCACAAGGATCTTCCCTGTGTGACTGAAGGTCAGCTGCAGTAGCCCTTTTGTGCCCGGCTCTGCCTCCTGAAGCAACTATTTTGTGGCTGCCACCACCAGTGTGTCGGAATTCCAAAAGTGCCCACATGCTCAAAAAATCTGGGAGCCCCTGGTATAGAAAAACGCCCATCACCTAGCCACTGCACAAATACAGCTTTAAAAAAGAGGCTGTCCACATCAATCTATAATGAAAACTCCTCTTTAAAAAACTGAGCCTCCGAGCTCAAAGTTCATGTTTCTAAATAAAACTTGAAATATACCTGTTTCCTCACAGGGAAACGCGAAACGGTTTAAAGAATCGCAGCAAAATAAATAAATAACCCAACAAGAATCTACAAATTTCCAATTCTGACAGAGGCAAAAAGGCCAAGCCTCTTTTCATCCTGTCTCAAGTTTAAAGAATGGCAGTAGGAGCACGGCCCAAAGCCACAGTACCACCAACAATACAAAGCCAAGATGCAAAAGGAAGTACTTCTTCACCCAAAGAGTGATTAACACATGGAATTCACTGCCACAGGAAGTGGTGGCGGCTACAAGCATGGACGGCTTCAAAAGGAAACTAGATAAGCATATGGAGCAGAGGTCCATCAGTGGCTATTAGCCACAAGGTATAGATAGGGACTCTGGGGCAAGTGATGCTCTGTCATCTTGGTGCTTGGGGGGGGGGGTCAACAGTGGGAGGGCTTCTAGTGTCCTGGCCCCACTACTGGACCTCCTGATGGCACCTGGTATTTTTGGCCACTGTGTGACACAGAGGGTTGGACTGGATGGGACATTGGCCTGATCTTATGCTTCTGTTCTGGATTTTCCATCCCTACAAACCATAATTCTCCCCCGCCCCCCAGAACAAGCCTCACATACTGAAAAAACGACAGTCCTCTGAAACAGTAAGAAGGCAGATTCTCAGAACCAGCGCTTGGAACAACAATATGGCATCGTGACCAAGTGGATGCATGAACCTCTGCAGTCGGACTAGCCTTGATTCAAATCCCTGCTCTAGGCAAGATAGTGTGGGAAAATCCACTCTTTATTGTTTGCAATATAAGATTAGCTCTTACTTAACTTTATTAAATGCAAAATTCATACATGCATGCAGCATTTTTCAGAAGTAAACTTATAAAACGTGAAGCCAAGAAGTGTATTCCTAGACACACAAATGCACTGGGGACCTACAGCCAATTGGGACTCTCTGGCACGTAATAACCATGGATGTTTTACAAACACACCACATTTTGAGGTGTTTACAGCTGCCAGCACTGGTACATATAAACACACACCAACACTGGTACATATAAATTCACACCTACATAAAGTATAAACTGAGGTATTTACAGCTGCCAACACTGGTACATATAAATACATACCTACATAAAGTGTAAACTGGCCTAACGTCACGGCGCAACAGGGGCGTGAACTGAAGCCCAGCACAACCAGACTTATCACCCCATTTGCTACACTCTGAGTAATTAATATTCACTACAGACTTAAGCCAGCAGTTACTAAAAGAGCAGCAATGAAAAGTGATCCACAAAATTCATCCTGTATACACAGATCTTTCTAAGATGTAGCCCATCTTATACTCATCAGATACTTTAAGTATAAGGGTCAGACAAGTTGAGAATTTGGTAATGCCATGATAGCTCCAGAACATCTTTCACTTGGTTTTTTTTAAAAAAAAAGCTTGGGGAGGGGGCTTGTATATATCTCATGGGGTGGAAACAGGGAGTTTAATCCCTTCCTCCTGTTGTCCCAAGATCATAGGACTCCACTCAAGATGCAAACAGCTCCCCAGGTGGCATCTGAGGTCACAAGTTAACCCTCCTCTTCTTCTCCTGATTAGACAACCCTTGCAGGGAGGGTGGGGTGGGGGGAGGGGAAACTTACAGCTCTTTACCAAGGAAAAGAAACATCGGATACCCATTTACAGACCTGCCAGCATGTGAACTGCCTTGATCCTAACCTTTACACATTTCCTTCCTCCAGAGAAACCCATGTCAGCTTAAGGCATTAGCAGACATCTTCAAAGATTCCTTTTTTCCTTAGAGGACCAGCTGCCATTTAAACGCTCAGCTTAAAATAAAACCTCTACACCTGAATGCTCAGAAAGCCAGATGGCTTGTGATCTTAATTCAGATTGGTTTAAAAAAAAAAAAGCACTAACAGAGCAAGCAAGGAAAATATCCCTTTCCCCCCAATATTGCACAGAAAGTATCTCAGGCTTTAGTGAAAACTTTAATTGGAAGGGGACCTAACTTACAATGCATTTTAAACTATTTGAGGACAGAACCTGAACTGAATCAATAGCTCATGGCACCATGTGGATTAGTGTTACAGCGAAGTACATGAGAGTAGGCAGGTTAGTAAAATGTTGAGGGGGTCTGCCTAGCATTGAAGCTTTGTTGTCAAACATGCTTTTATTTTAAGCAAACACTTCAAAATGTACACATTATAGCTGCAGAGAAGCATTCGGGAGCACTCCCAACAGAAGAACTTGCTAATGTGAGAAAGCTTCATCCCATTTCTTAGCTTGTGATGGCTTAGAAAGAGATCTACACTGCAGGGACAAAATCTTGGAGGATCACATCTGCTACAGGCCAAGATGCTAACAGTTTGATTCGGGTTTTGGAAATGTCTTTCTACAGCTTATGGGGGCCGGGGGGGGGGGGGGGGGGAGAGAAAACACGAGCACTCCTGAGAACTGAATCCTGCAAGAACTTATTATGAAAACTTATTTTTTTCTTAATGAAGAAAAACTACTGGGATGCAAGAACTAAGGCAGCATTTGCTATTAAGCATGTGTTTAGAAGCAACACCATTTCTCAGCGGCTCGCTGCTAACAATAAAACAATGCCAGTTTCAAATGACTAATGGAACCCATTCATTTCTGCCCCACAGTGCGATGAAGTTCATTGTACCTGTGATAGAGGAATGATAACAGAACAGGAGCGCTGTTACTAAGCAACTGCAGACACAATGTAGGGTTTTTTAATTATGTTTATTTAATTAGTGGAGTGAAATAGGATTTATTTTGTTGCATAAAATCACCCAAGTCTCTATTTCTTTTTCTCCCTTGCTAACTTAACAGCCATCTTAACGCAAAGACCCTGGGAGACTCTGACTTTGTTTCCCATCTCAAACTAAGACTCGAAACTGGGCATAAACAAAGGTTTAGAATCCCAGGGTTGGGGGGGAAGAGACAAAAATTCCAATTCATCAGACATCATGATAGATTAACGCTTTATTCAAGGCTTCCCAAAGTCGTTTCCTGCACTCTAAGAACGGCAAACTAGCACAACAAAGATTCACACCCAATCTCAGCTTGTCGTGAGGTCTGAAGGGAGCCTGGGATTTGAAACTAAGGCCTGTTGCTGGTTTGTTAACCATCATTTACACTAACTGTGGTTTGCCGCAATGCCTGAAACCAGCAACAGACCTGGACACAGGCAGCAACAGAGGGGGAATTTCCTTTTCCCTGCTTGGGCGGTAAGCAGCAGACAAACTGGGGCTTAGACACACAAGCCTGGATCTGTTACTTAAAGCTGGTAGACTAACCTGAGTTGGTTACATAAAACAACAGTTTATTTTGACATATGAATACAGCCTGAGAGTTAGCACAAGAGCCTGTATCTACACAAAAAGAAAAGTAGCATGTTCTGGAAAAGTCTAGACTAGAACGCTTTCTCCCAATATGTCTAGGACCTTTCCCCCTCTATCTTTTTTCCCCGTTTTAATAAAAGAGCATTGTTATACAAGTCCTTACCCCACAGTCTGAGGAGCTTTACCACTTCTATCAGTGGGGAGGGGTTATGGCACAATGGCAGAGCATCTGCCTGGCATGCAGAAGGTCCCAAGTTCAATCCCCGGCATCTCCAATTAAAAGGATCAAGTAGTAGAGTGTATGAGAGAGAAACTATTCAGCTTTGCTGAATGGCAGCAACCTTCCATCTCTAGTGCGGGTGAAGATAATATAAATTCTGCCCCATAAACTCTGCCCACATCAGTCTTCAATTATGTGTAAGCATCACACATCAGGCCCCTCTGAGCTCTTTGCAAACATCTGCAGGAGCCTTCACAAGGCATACAAGCCCATACATCAAGACAAACATCTTTACCTGATTTCAATTAGACTGATTTAACCCAAAACACCAATTGTAAACAGGAGGGCTTGGTTCCCCCCACCCCCCAGTGGCCAGGTAGGTAAGAGAAGACACACACAGAGAGCTGCCCAACAGCATCATTGTCACAACTTGAGCATTAAACATTGCATTAACCTTTTGGTCTAAGAATGTATTGGATGACTGGAAGGATTTGTCAGCCTAGCTTTGATATGCAATGCATTAAGAGTTCTGGGAGAGAAACAAAGAAATCCGGTCGAGCTTACCTCTACGATAGTTGTTCTGGCAGCCTTGCACATAGGCTGGTTAAAATTTCTTGCAGTTTTCCTGTGTGGGAAACAGAAGCGGTGGGGAAACATAAGGTGGCTTAAAATAGTAAACACTTTGTTTGCCTTCAGGCTGTGTTCCTTTTGTATTGGGGGGGGTCATGGAGGGAAGCATTCCAACAGAATCAGGAAAGAGCAGTTTGTTTTTTGGAAGGTTTAAAACAATGGTCTTCAAACGTTTTTTTGAAGTGGGACCCACTTTTAAAATTACTGTGGTTTTCAGGACTTGCTTGCAAATTAAGTCCAGGCAGCTTTCCCCCTTACCTAACATAAAATGCCAGACTTTTATGTTAGGTAAAGGTAAAGGTAAAGGTTCCCTTGCTCGAAAGCCAGTCGAATCCAACTCTAGGGTTGCAGTGCTCATCTCCGTTTCAAAGCCGAAGAGCCAGCGCTGTCCAAGGAAGTTTCCGTGGTCATGTGGCTGGCGTGACTAAACACCAAGGCGCACGGAACGCTGTTCCCTTCCCACTGAAGTGGTACCCATTTATCTACTTGCAATTTCTTGCTTTCGAACTGCTAGGTTGGCAGGAGCTGGAACTAGAGACGGGAGCTCACTCCATCATGCGGCACCCGGGTCTCAAACTGCTGAACTACTGACCTTCCAGAGCCTGCAGTTCAGTGTCTTAACCACTTGAGCCACCACAGCTCCATTGATCATGTATGCAATCTCTAATCCACAATTTAACCTGCAGAGAACTCAGGACAAGTTTAGTATTTATACGACATTACTGAGCCAACAGGCTGTATTTCTTGCCCATTTCACACAGACCCAAATTTGCCATATAGCCTCCTCTCCCTGTCTCCCTGCTCTCTGGCCTTGCATCCTAAATGCAAGAGAACCTGAACTCAGTCCCCAGTCGTCACAGAATCTGTTTTAACTACAGGCCTACATCATTCACAAAGCATAATGTTTTGCCGGCAGTGCCAGCCACAAAATACTTGTTCTTTACCAGGTGTTTCTCAAAGTTTGAGACTTGCCTTAACTGAAATATTACCTCTGAAATGTAATTGTAATTTTGTTAAAAATCTGTTTTAATATCCTATGGATTTTTACAAGCACGTTTCTTAATAATATTGGAAGATACTTTAAGCCTCTCTATGGAGAAGGCAGAATATCAGACAAATGAATGTTATTTTAGATTTTTCTCTTTACCATCAACTGCTCCTACGATTTTGGGCTTCCAGTGCCCCCTACTGGTTATTTTTTGCTTTTCTCCCACCCAGCCAACAATTTCAACATTTCGTTTATACAGAGAAAGTAAAAAAAGATACAAGTTATTACTCCAAATCCCCAGCGAAACACAGATTTCTTTCCCCTTGTAAATTAATTGCTGCCAGATGTAACAACATTTTCATAGAATCACAAGGGATGACATCTCACCAAAGAAGATTTTGAAATGTATTATTCTATTGATTATGATCACTGTGGGAGTTAACAATTACATTTTGAGCCCTTCTCTAGAAGACAGCATGGCCCGTTATCTTGCAAAGCCCTGAGAGACCTTGTTTTCTAAATAGCAGCATCACCCTTCTCAGCCCTGAAAATTGGTTCTTGAACTGCTATATCAAAAGCAGTAGTTTTACATTTAGAAAAAAAAAAAAAGGGTGGGGGGGGGGGGGAGTTCTGCAATGTTCCCTAGCATAGAACCACGTATGGAGTATAAATCAGAGTCAGAGGTTGGACGCTAGCTCAGGTCTCAAAGTCCTCTTCATAGGCAAAAGGAATGTGCTATATGAACCCATATGACTGGCATACAGCACACAGCTATGGATTATCTAGGCTTGGTAATGTGGCCTTGCCTAACCAAGAGAGCAGTATCTTCTGCCTGCTACACTCCCAAAAAACTATGTGCAAGGACCCTGGTGCAAGGATCCAGGCACAGGCTCCATTTTCATGGCACAAATAAAAAATTCTGCCTTCAAGGAAGCCAGTGTCCACTTGTGAATACAAACTGCCACGCAACTCTTGTTTCATTGTGGGGGATTCTAGGACATGTTCTAAGGGGGACACAAGAACATTGTCCAATTGGCTTCTCTCACATAAAATGAACACGTATCCTAGAACCAAGGTCTTCCATGGCTACATATTGAACAGAAAGGTTCATAGCTAGCTGGCAGGCTGCCTTTTAGGAAAGACCTTTACCTACCATTGGTGATGGGGGTGGAAAGTGCCTTCAAGTTACATCTGACTTATGGAGACCCCAGGGGGATTTTCAAGGCAAAAGAAGCTCGGAGATGGTTTGCCACTGCCTGCCTCTGTGCAGCAACCCTGGACTTCCGTGGTGGTTTCCCATCCAATATTAACTACGGCTGACCCTGCTTAGCTTCTGATATCTGATGAGATCGGGCTAGCCTGGGCCGTCCAGGTCAGGGCTTATCCGCCATTAAAGGTAAAATAAAGGTTCCCTTGCTCAAAAGCCAGTCGAATCCGACTCTAGGGTTGCGGTGCTCATCTCTGTTTCCAAGCCGAAGAGCCAGCGCTGTCCAAAGATGTTCCCATGGTCATGTGGCCGGCATGACTAAACACCAAGGCGCACGGAACACTGTTACCTTCCCACCGAAGCGGTACCTATTTATCTACTTGCAATTTCTTGCTTTCGAACTACAGGAGCTGGAACTAGAGACGGGAGCACACTCGGGTCTTGAACTGCTGCCATTACTGACCTTCTAAACAAGGATGTCCAAATAAGTCCCAGAGGCACCCCAGAAGACCCTTCGAAAACCACTGCACCAGGGGAAATGACCTCTGCTCTGAACGGAACATACCTGAAAATGACGTTTCCAGCACGATCAGACTTCCATGCCTTGATTAGCGCAAAATCTCCTACGATCGACTTCTCCATGATGAAGTGACGACCATCAAACTCCCTTACCTAAAGTAAACAACCCCCCCAAAAAAGGTCAAAGCTTTTGCTCCCTAAAATGAGGCTGCCAAGGTGCTTTAGTGGAGAAGGGAACAAGAAAAGAGAGAAAGAGCAGGTAATTCAATTGGAGGGGGATGCCATAGGCTCTCTTTTTTGCAGATATAATGGCTGAGTGAAAAAATTGCAACAGCCAATAGGATCTGGTAGACAAAGAGCTGCAGTGGACATGGGAACACTTAATTTCAAGTCCTCAATACATGGGCTTGGACAAATCAATCACTACCTTGCAGGCAGCCATGGTAAAAACCCTGCAGTGTCAGTCCAGTCATCTAAGGAAGGACAGGATACAAAGGTAACAGCTATGACAGTTGAATTAGAAAGGCATTTTTTTAAAAGACAGCGACTGCATGAATCACTATTCCCTTGGTAAAGCTACAAGTGAACCATTCCAGAAAAGAGATAGCTATGTGTAAGGGCTAAAATCTAAACAAGTGGTTTACAGTTTATGATGTGTAAGAGGCAAACTACATGTTAGAGCAGCCAAAGGTCCAATCGGTGGCCAATGACAGACATGAGGAGCTGTTTCAGCCCATGAAAAGGAGCATTTAAAAAAGGTAAAGGTAAAGGTTCCCTTGCTCGAAAGCCAGTCGAATCCAACTCTAGGGTTGCGGTGCTCATCTCCATTTCAAAGCCAAAGAGCCAGCGCTGTCTGAAGACGTTTCCGTGGTCATGTGGCCAGCATGACTAAACACCAAGGCGCACGGAACGCTGTTATCTCCCCACCGAAGTGGTACCTATTTATCTACTTGCAACTTCTTGCTTTCGAACTGCTAGGTTGGCAGGAGCTGGAACTAGAGATGGGAGCTCATTCCATCATGCGGCACACTCGGGTCTCGTACTGCTGAACTACTGACCTTCCACAGCCTGCAGTTCAGCGTCTTAACCACTTGAGCCACCGCAGCTCCGAAAAGGAGCATGGGGGATGCAAAAAGATCATCTGGTGTTGGCTCAAATCGAAAAATGCATTGTTTGTCTGTTCTGAAGACAAACTCAAATGTGAAACTCACACACAAACAGCAACATGAAAAAAAATTACAAATGCCACACAAATCAACAAGAACCAGACAGGGGGGGGGGGGAGAGAAGTTTTACAACTCTGAAACCTGGTAAGGTCTACAAACAGATGGAAAATTATTCTCTGCACTCTCACATACTTGGTTCAGATGATATTTGTCCCCTGTTTGCTTTTCTAAATGTAGTGGGGTAGTGAGAACATCACACTTCCCCTTTCTCCAGGACCACCAAACATTATTTTCTTTTGTTTTTGCCGTCTAGTCACAGCTGACTTACCCTGTAGGGTTTTCAAGGCAAGAACTGTTTGGAGGTGGCATGCCACTGCCCGCCTCTGCGTGGCAACCCTGGTATTCCTTGAAGGTTTCCCATCCAGATACTAGCCAGGGCCGACCTTGCGTAGCTTCTGAGATCTGACAAGATCAGGCTAGCCTGGGCCCAGACATTCTTACCCGGGCACTACTTTCCATTAGGATGAACGCGCGTGCACACACACACACACAAAACCAGTGTACACAAACCCAGATCATGCACCTGCATTTCAGATTTTGTCTAGGAGAACTGATTGTGATGTACAGCCCTGCACATTTTGGGGTTTAGATGCATACGCTCTATTCATCCATTCTTTAAATATGCATAACACACCATTCCTCTAGAGAGCTGTAGAGGGCATACATCTCCAAGTCTGCCACCAACTCTCCTTTGTGAAGCAGATTAGAATGAAAGGTTGTCATGGCTCAAGGTCACCCAGTGGCCTTCATGGACTGAATGGGTATTTGACCACAGTCCAATCCTCTAATCCCATGACAACACTGCTTTCCTATTAAACTGTTATGCAGGCAGTACGGGTGGGCAAAAAAGACTGCAGTGATCTCACTACTTCACCCTGTGAAGGGAAAAGTATCACCTGAACCAGGCCACCCAGGACTTTATGAAGAGAGCATATTCCCAATCAATTTTAAATGTTAAAGAAAACGAGGGAAGATAAGAGAGGACAAGGTGGTTTTCATAAACTTGTTGGGTTAAAGTCTTGCATTCTAGAAAAAGTCTGGGAGGAGAGAAGTCAATGGGACTCATTCAGTATGTCCATGATCTTCTTGTTAACATTTTTAAATGTAAATTTCTTGCTCTGGACTATAACGCTCATCTTGGGGGGGGGGGGGAGAAGTAGGAAAACTCCCATTCTTCTAGGACACACCTGAAATCAGAAGAAGCAAAGCTAATAATGACACCTTTGCATTATATAAATGGAACCAATCGCTCTGTCTTTCAGTGGGCTGGATCTAGCCAGATCTAGTCAAGCCCCCCTCTTCTTACAGACGCCACCCCATATGGCTTTTGTCCATGTACATCCCACTGTCCACAACACAATCTTTTTTCGGTAGGCCCTCTTCCTTTTTCAACCAGTGGGAAAGCTGGTTCGATTCAACTCAATGTCCATTCCTTAAGAGCTAATCTGATGACCTGTTGTAGGACAAAAGCCAAGAACAGCAGAGCGGACCCCCCCCCCCAGCAGCGTCAACTCCCAACTCCCAACACACATTCACACCTCAATGGATGCTGTACCTCTCTTGGTTCACTGGCAAGGCAGACAGTACCGTCCTTGTTGTATTTGATTGGGGCCCCTCCTTCTTGTACCAAGGTTCCGTAGCCAGTGCTGGTGTAAAAAGCTGGAATCCCTGCCCCCCCTGCTCGAATCCGCTCAGCAAGTGTTCCCTAGCAGGAGAGAAATTGAGGAGAAGGTAGCCGATTTTGTTGAATGAAAAGAATGTCCTCAGGACCAGCTCTGCGCGCACACACACCCCCGCCCCACAACAGAAAACTACTTTTCTTCTCAGGTGTCTGCAAAAATATCCTTCTGCATAAGCAAGCAGCTAGTGCCATCCGCTGGTCCTCATGAAAAAACTCAAAACTCGCAGCCATAAGCTGTCATTCAAAGTACATGCAGCAATTATTATGAAGCTTAATTCCCCCAAAGGTGCGGGTGGACCCTAGAATTCAAATCCCTTAATGCCACTGGCTGAACTCCTCTGGTGTCACAAAGACTCTTTGCATAAATTAGTAAATGCAGATGAGCCAAAGAAATCATAACAAGCAGAACACCCAGAAGTCAAAGAAGATTTAATGAGAGAGAAATATAGGCACACACACACATGCTGACGGGCTCTTCGGCCAGTTATAAATCCCATACTGAACCTTCCCTGACCCTTTGCAAAGTAGAACTGTTTCATGACCTACTTTAGACACATGAAGCTGCTTTGTATCAAATCAGACCAGTGACCAGGGTCACTGGCTGTGTGTTAGATTGACACCTGACCTAACCTTTTCCTCTTGCACTGAGAATTTACACTTGGAAGATTCGTGGTAGAATTCATATGCAACCCTCTGGGTGCGTTCAGACGGGGGCTTTACAACGGTATAGGTGCCGGTTCCAACCGGAGTTCACACAGCGAACATCTGCCTCCCGTCCCTAACCGTTGTAAAGGCCTTTAAACCGTTGCACTCTGCCACTAGGTCCCCAAGTGGTGGTATCCTGAGTGCAATGGTTGCAATCGCTGTACCCCTCTGTCTGATCGCTCTCCACCGGTGCCTAGCCACTTCCGTTCGAAAGCCTGAGGCTTCCGATTTCCCCCCGCCATTTTTTTTAAAACTAAGCGATATGCACTTGGGCGAAGCTTCGCCCTGAGCGTTTGTTTTATATACCTGAGCCTACCTGAGGGACCGCCTTTCCCCATATGTGCCCCCAAGAGCACTACGGTCCGGGACCCAGAACTTATTGGATGTACCGGGTCCCCGGGTTATCAAATTCGCAGTGACCAGGAATAGGGCGTTCTCGGTGGCGGCTCCTATCTGGTGGAACGAGCTCCCAGAGGAGATCAGGGCTCTGCAGGACCTAGCACAGTTCCGCAGAGCCTGCAAGACGGAGCTCTTCCGCCAGGCGTTTGAATAGGAGCCGCCACCATCACCATCATCATGCCATCATTATTATCTACGCACCAAGCTTGTGGACAGGGTTATCAGATGTGGACACTCTGAAAGAGAACGGGACTTTTGACGACCATCTGGTTTCGGAGGCGAGCACCAATTACTGTTGTATTTGTATGATGTTTTAAGTGTTAATGCTAATTAATATTTTAATGCTTTTACTGTTTTATTGTATGTCTCAGCGACATACCATGTAAGCCGCCCTGAGCCTACGGGGAGGGCGGGATAAAAATATAAATAATAAATAATAAATAAATAAATATATATTTAAAAAGCCCTTAGTGTAGCGTATCGGAGGAGTCTGGGACTTAAGGGAGGCCAGTTTGGTCTTTAAACTTTAAAGGTAAGTCCTCACCTTTAAAGTTTAAATGTAATACAGGGTGTTTTGAGCATGCGCAAAGATCGCCATTCTGTGGATGGCTGCCTATGCGCATGCTCAAACTGAGTTTAAAAAAAAAAAGCCGACGCCCGCAGCGTGTGAGCGGGAATACAACGATGGGATCCGCAAAATGGAGGTGAGTGTGATCACGTTTCAGCCGGCATAAACTGCACCGGTTCCAACCGGTACAGTTTATGCTGGCTGAAACGCCGCGTCTGAACGCACCCTCTGTATCTCAAGCTTCTCCTTCCCCTTGCAAGATTCCCAGTCCCTTGGCAGGGGTGGGGAATCATTGGTTTCTGCCACTGCTTGAAGAAAAATCAGTGCTAAAATCTTTGATTTGCCACCAACCTAGGATAACTACAGAAAATATCTGACCTAATAAAGCCTGAACTTCTCCTCACAGAGAGAAAGTGCAAATACAAAACACTAGTTTTCAATGGCTAGTTGGTTTTACCCACAAATAGCAGCAATTCTACTTATTCTACAGCTCCCTGATGGTGGAAAATGCTGTCACGGCAGACTTGGGGTTTTCAAGAGAATAGATTAACACTGCAAAGACCAACCCTGCTCAACTTGCAAGATCTGATGAGATCAGGCTAGCCTGGGCTGTCCAGGTCAGTACAGAGCTCCCTAGCATGAAAGAAAAGCTCAACCTCCCTCCACATCTTTCATTGATACAGCTCTTCACACAGGTTTTGGCATCTGGCTCTCTTCTTGAAATCCACATATATTAGTCAGTAACTGCCTTTTCCAGACAACTAGGATTACCAACTGGAGGACAGCTTAGCTCCCACTCAAAGGAAAAAGTCAAATTCTACCCATATACAGGATCTCTTAAATCTTCTTCCTTCCCAACAAAGTCTTGGGATGGTGTAGAGTGCAATCAGTTGACCAGAGATGTAAAGCAGCACAAATCTGTGTTTCCATGTGTGTAATTCTGCATTTAATTACTTCTAGTCATTAAACCAGAAGCACTCAAATGGCAACTATGTTTATATAGGTAGGTGTGACGACCCCTTATCTGGGGAGGTCTGGTTTCCCTTTAAAATGTTCTTTATGTTTTGTTTTACGGTGTATATTCGGCTGCCACCAGGAAATTTAAGGCTTTCCAAACCTTTATACTATAATATTTCTATCACTGGGTAGGTAGGTCGAGGTTTTAGGCTTTCATGAGGGTCTATGTGTTTTCTGAGAAATTATTTCTTTCAGAGTTGGCAGACTTAAATAAAAGAAGATTTATTGATATAATTCGTAAATAATATGGTAGAACACTGTAACTAGGAATGGGTAAATACTAAACAATTGCTTTGGGTAATTCACACACTTTTCTCTCCACTGTCAGGGATCTTGGCATGTAACTTTGTAACTTTAATTCAAGGTTATGTAAGTTCACTGTTTCTCTCCAGGACATACAGCCTTTCCTAAACTTTGTCTTCAATTACTTTCATTTACATTTTACTATTCTCTCAGAACAACCTCAGCTGTTCTTAACTGCACACACACAGAGACTGCTTCTCTCACAGACTTCAGAACGAACTAACTGACTGTTTAACTGTCCTCATCAACTGTCACTCTTCAACTGTCCAAACCTCAAACTGTCACTCCTGATAGACATACATATTCATCTACACAGCATCACTTCCAAAACCCCTCCCCCTCTCTGTCACTCACCAATCACACCACACTTGCCTCTTCAAGCACTCTAGACTATCACATGCAACCAAACTTTTAAAGAGACACACATCCATAAACAAGGAATCGTTACAGTAGGAAATAAGATGACCCCACAGAAATTACTTAGGCAAGTTGGTCAATTAGCTCATTTCTCAACACATAAAAGACATAAACACCATAAAATACATTAATATTTCAAAAAACCCTCAAATGGAATAATGCTTTAAGCAAGCTGACATCTATACGCATGCAATTAGGAAGATTTCTCCAGTGTTATTCTAAGCTCCTCTACTGCATTGCACTTCTGCCAGAGTGAACAACATCATATCTAAGGAAGAAGCCAAGGGTACAGCTATTTGTTATAAGAGACAACCCCTGCCCCCCACTTATTCACCCCTTAAGGATAGCATTTTACCTGCGGTGTAAGCTCAACTTCCAGTTCTCCAGATAAATACTGCCGCTCAAATTCTGCATTCTCTCCAACATAGGATGATACCATGCGCTTGATTTGGTGGGTTTGAAGTAAAAGCCCGAGCCCAAAATTGTCTACCCTGCATAGGAAAAAGTAATTAGACTACAGTCACTAGAAGAGAAGAGCCACAAAATGTCATGGAAATATGGGCGAGGGGATATAGCCCTCCTTTCTTCCAAGTATTCGAAAGTTGGACTGGTCCCACACTGGCTTCTTATTTCTGGCTGTAAAGTCAATTATGGCTTATTAATTTAAAACAAGCACCACTTGGCTTTGAGGCAGTTCCCAAAAAGAAATATGACCTATCATAACAGTGAGGGGGGAAATGTAGGTATACAAATTGGCATCCTCCAGAATTACAACTGATCTCCAGAGTACAGCGATCAGTCCCCCTGAAGAAAATGGCTGCTTTGGAGGGTGAATTCTATGGCACTATACCATGGTGAAGTCACATCCTCAGGCTCCACCTCCAAATCTCCAGGAATCATCCAGCCCACAGTTGGCAACCTTATTTGCTCATGATGTAGAATATCTAGTATTGTGCAAGGGTGACTAAACAGTAGGCTCACATACAGCCTCCAAAGTAATTTTATCTGGCTTCCCAGCAGCCTTACCAAGTATTCTCCAACATGCAGTAGAAAGTTTGCCCAGAGTTTTACCTATAAAGTGTTCAAATTGCAAGAAAAACCACAGTATTGGTTTTTCATATAATGGCATGGCTATGCCTCAGAGCTATTCCCTAATTACTGTGAAGCTAAGATGTTGCCTGACCACTTATGAGGTAGTCCATCTGAACCCCAGCATACCTGAGGGACCACCTTTCCCCATACAGGCCCCAAAGAGCACTTCGGTCGGGGTCACAACACCACCTAGTGACCCCGGGCCCCAAGGAGGCCAGGCTTGCTGCCACAAGGGCCAGGTCCTCTTTGGTGGCGGCTCCTACCTGGTGGAATGAGCTCCCGGAGGAGATCAGGGCCCTGCAGGATCTTTTACAGTTCCGCAGGGCCTGCAAGATAGAGCTCTTCCGCCAGGCTTTTGAGTAGGAGCCGCTGCCGCCACTACCACCACCGTGCAACTGCAGAGCAGTTTCGCTGGGTTGGGCTGACTAGCCATCTGAACATCGTGGCCCATGGCATCCCCCCTCGTTGATCCCAACGTGATATGCAATAGGGAGTGAGTATTTTAGTCGTTTATGTATCCTGTGAGATCTGCATTTTTGCCTAAATTGTTTTAACCTGTTTACTTTTTATTGCACTTTTGTGCCTTAATTGTTTTAACCTGTTGTATTTTCATTGCACTTTTGTGCCTACGTAAGCCGCCCTGAGCCCGCATGCGGGGAGGGTGGGGTATAAATGAAATAAAATAAACAAATAAGGAGTGCAACTAATCTTCTGGGCCCACACACTGAAGAAACAAAGAATCCTAGGCCTAGCTATGAAAGTTCGAATTTTTATCTTGAAATGCTGTATCGGTTATCATCGAGGAATTTTTGAATTAAGTTTTATAAACTGACTGTTTTATTCAATGTTGTAACTACCCTGAGCCCTGTATCCCAGGGGAGGGTGGGATATAAATCAAATCAAATATATTTTTAATGGTTTATGGAACATTTACTTTATTTACTTCATTTATTGCTGGAGTTGCCAGGCCTGGTAAAACCATAGAGTTCCCAGTGATTCCTAGAACAATGTGACATCACCTCCAATTTTCCTCAGAATTGGTGTCACAATATGTGTGATGCCAGCTTTTTTTTCTTGCTGCTATCAAAGCAGGGAATCTAGCATCCCTATTTATAGCCCACCTTTTTCACTGAGATCCAAGACTTGATTACAGTTCCCCTGATACACTGAATACACAAAGCAGGTAGAGAGCTAACCAATGTTCCCTCTAAGCTGTGGAGTCTTGTGAGCAAAAGCTCTACTTTGTGAGCTACTGGCATTAAAGTTGTGAGCGAGCGATTTGGTTGCTGCATAAATTGGTTTGCTCTGGAGCCCTCCTTCCTGAGCAGAGACAAAAATGTGTGAGCCAGAGGCTAAAAAACTGTGAGCTAGCTCACACTAACTCAGTTTAGAGGGAACACTGGAGCTAACATACTTTCCACCCTCAACCCCAACCCCCAAATACTTTATCATGTGCCTCAAAATAATTTTCTTGATTTATTTTTCAGTGTCATGGAAACCAGAAACACAGTAGGATAAATGCATCGAGGGAAGAGAAATTAGCTCAATTAAGGCCCCGGGCACACGGGCTGGCTGAAACGCGGCTACTCAGAGCCGCTCCAAACTTGATACGCTGCGGCGGGATCCCACGGATCCCCTAGCCGCGGCGCAGCACTCCCCGGCACGCTCAGATGCCGGGGAGGAAAAGTCCGAGGGGAGGGGGGAGGCTGCCGAACTGCGCATGCTCGGGCATGCGCAGTACGGCTGGGGGCCGGGATGCGGCGGCACAAGGACGCGCCGCCGATCCCACAGCCCTGCCTGCGCCGCACCAATGGATGCAACCACCTAGAGAGGTGGTTGTTTTTTGCGGCACAGTTTGGGCCGTTGGGATGGATCAGGGACGGAGACGGCAC